TATCATTTTAAGAGAATGAAAATTTTTAATCTAAAACTGTGCCTAAAACGATTAATTTTTCAAATTTGGTCATAGCTTAGATGGTCATGAATTTTATGATCTTTCATTGACTTGAAATTTGATGGTACTAGTGAAAATCGTCTAGATAGGTATAGGTAGTCTGACGGATTAAAATTTGATTTGAATATGATAAGATCATTCTTTATGTTAGTTAGATTTATGTTAAATTTGGAGCATGATTGCACATGATTATTTGACATGAATTTATATGTGAGAAGAATGTAGGTAATATTGTTTTAGTTCCTAAAGATGTTTAAATCATTTGAATTTGAATTTGGTCATAGATTTGAAAATAAATATTTTTCTAGACTCCAATTGACCTGAAATTTGGTAAGTTCATTGATAACGGCGGAGTAAGAAGTATTCATTGCTATGTGATTATATTTTTTGAGGTCGTTAAAATGATTTTAAAGTTGTTCTTTGAAATTAAAATGTGATTTAGTATGAATGTCATCCTTTATACTATTTTTATTTATGTTATATTTAGTACATGAATTACACATGATGAGTTAACATCAATTGATATATAATCAGGATGTGTATCTATTCATTTTTTCTTAAATTGTTTGAATCTAAATTTGATCATAGATTTGGACATAAATTATTTCTTTTGAACTCTAATTGATAAGAAATTCGGTAGGTTCATTTGAAACGATCAAATTTAAAATATTCATTGTTATGCAGTGATTTGGTAATTTGAGATCGTTCAGATGATGTTTTTAGATAATTTTTGTATCTTGAAAAAATAATTTTACCGGAAAAATTACTCGACTATGATATAGTGGTGATAGAGTTTGTTCTCTATGGTCTTGATAACTAAATTTTGTGAAGTATTAAGTTCATGTGTTGCTTAGACCTTTCTCCATAACGGATGAAATTAATACAAGTCATTAAAATTTAATCTCTAGTTTTGATTATTAATATTGACTCTGTTAAATTGAGTAATATTTGATTGGATCAATGTATCTAGGTATAATGATATTCACTAAACTTAAATTAACATATACTCTCCATCTGAGTTGGCTTTTGTTTAAAATTTGTTGAAGGGAATATCTAACACCATACATGTATGTTGCATGAGTAGTCATTTTATCATCAAAATTCATTGTTCAAGATGCATTGAAACCCATGAGGTGTGTTTTGAATTTTAGTATTCAATGTATACATAAACATATTTTTCTTTTGGAATTTTAGAATTTTGTTCTTTATTCTTGATTCGTGTATATCTATTTCACAAAAATGATGATATATGATAAGAATTACTGAGCGAAAAATCTTAAATTCTATTGTGGCCAAACAACGTTTTCAACAAAATTGATAATAGTATTAGAATTCCAAAAAGAAAGAGAACTCAGATCAATCTGAAATTTGGTAGATTTATAAGAACGACCTAGTAAGAAACTAATTTTTTTGGATCGTTATATGATTTTTTGGTCATAATTGATTAAATAGTAGTGAAGTATTAGTTTTATGTGCTGGCTTAAACCTTCCTCCCTAACGGATGAAATTGATACAAGTCACTATGTATTTAGTTGTCTAGTTTTGATAATCTAATAATCTATATTAACTCTCATAATTTGAGTGATTTAAGATTAGATCAATGTAGCTAGAGGATAAACACTTCACTTAAACTAACAGTAGATTCTCCAACTGAATTAGGTGTGTATAAGTTTATGGAGTGAATAATATGTCATTGTACATGTGTATTGCATGAGTAGTTCTCCAATCCCAACGATTGGATATTCGAGATGCATGGATATATATGTATAAATGAGCCTTGAATTTTGTTATTCGGAATTATTCAAAATATTATGATCTATTTTAAGTAATGCCTCTTATATTCTCAATAGATATTACACAGCCACTTAGTACTACTTAAGATTTTCTTTTGGTACAGATAAGATATTAACTTAATGAATGCATTGTATATGTACCTTATGTAAGAAGAAATTATTTTAAGTTTCTAACCAGATAAGAGATGAGCATATAATATATTTATTTTTAAATCTTCTATCATTGGGTTTGATAAATATTTTATTTCTTGTGGTATATTTATGCATTATTATTTTACTAGTATGAGAAAATAAAATTATACTAATCTGTCTCATAAGGGAAGATATTTTTTAAATTGAATGAGACTTATATGTACATTAGGGTCTAAGTCATTTACTCTGAATAGAATTATGAGGTTGGTTAATGGTTGAACATAACTGTTCATTGAAAAGTGAAGTCACTACCAATATGTACGTTTTGTTTATAAGGAAAAATGACTAAGAGACCTTAGTTTTCCTCTTAAAAAGGATTTAAGAGGTAGTGATAAGTTATAATTAATCTATTCTGATTTGTGTAATAAATGAGCACATGGGCAAGAGGTGAAATTGAGTTTTGAAGGAAAATTACTTGTGATATGAATATATTTTTTGATGTTTTATAAGTCTAAATGTCTTGATAAACTCAAAATATTTAAAACATGTGAAAGTATCATCATGAAAAATATATAAAGTTACTACATCTGATTGTAGTAACGTAAACCTCTTAGCTCATAAGTCACTTATCTTATAGAATAATTGTCTTTCAATTGTCTACATTAGACACTCCATAATAGATTGGTGTGGAAGAGAAAATAATTAGACTCTTATGAAGATGATGAGATTAATTATTGACTTATTATTAGTTATTTTGTTCCTTTTGGGATAGATTTTAATAACTACGCATCACATTCTGAATTCAATTTCTCTCATATTAGTACCTTGAGAAACTATAGAACTAGTTGGATTTGACGTAAGTCTAATCTGTGACATGTTTAGATATAGGATTGTTCAGCTCATGTGCTGAGTGGGAGAATAAGAAAAATTGAAATTAAGAACGGAATGTGTGTGTTAATTGGATATCCTAAAGAATGAAACAAGGTTTATTATAGTGTCCTAAAGAAAGTAAGTCAATAGTTAACACAACTTTCTGATTTCTAGAAAAGGATAATTTTAGTAAACCATGTTCCTAGAAGTAATTATCTTTACGGGAATTGAACAAAGAAATAACAAATAAGTTAATTGTAAATTCATACGCTCAATAACATCTAATGGGTATTGTCAGAATTGACGTCCCATTGCACTTAAGTAGTGGGAGAAACGTTACTAGACATAAGAAAACTACTATCTCAAGTAGTGGGAGTGATATTGAACAAATTAAAAGAACATTTCATGAGAAGTTGTTAGTATTTCATTATTGAAAGATTTTTAAGAAAATAATAAAACTCAAGAACATGAAAGTGTGATTATAATAGTAGTACTTAGTCGTAGTAGGAGAATCATAACGAAGATTGAGTTGTTTTGTATGCTTGAGAGAAGTTTTATGATAGAGCTCTTGAAAAGAAGTACACTCTTGGAGGGTTTCATGATAAGTTCTCTCAAGATCTAGTACAAAATCGATTTGTTACGATGAAAGACTACTAGACAAAATTGCATGAGAAAATAGTTTGGTAAATTTTCTTTCGATAAGAAATAAAAGAATGCCTGCGCAAGTTGTAAATGCATCAGTGAGTAAGATCGTCATATCATGGAGGATATATTCCGTTAACATTGGGTACTTGAGATGTTGTAATGATGCTCCGAATGTTTTTCAATAAAAGGTGTTTGTTCGACTAAAAAATAAAATAACCAATAACTTTTGTTATCTTACCTTTTCCTAATATCTCTAGGTTGTCATATCCTACTTATTTTTTTTGTAGGATTTCCCATCAAATTGCTAATGCATGCTCTATTGTATATCAATACGTTATATTCATAAAAAAATTATAGAGCAAACTTATCGCTACGTGGATATTAAGTCGTCTTTATTAGGGATAATCTTACCTCACATGGACATCAAATATGAAAACAATTGATCTTTAAAATAAGGTAAAAAAATAAAGATTGCAAGATTTTCCTTTTCATCACTTTGATCACCCTCTCTTTGACTTTAGCCCTAACCACAATATGTCCCTCAAAACCTCAAAACAATTTTCTATGTTTTGGAAGGTTAGGTAGCACAACTCAGCACATTTATATTTTTTGTTTGTATTACACTAACGGTTAAAAAATTTCAGATTACAGTAATCTTGATACGTTTATCTCTTTAAATATTGATAAAAGAAATCCCCTAAAACAAACATTTCATCATTTTGGTGAAGTAACAAGTACAAGAATCTTTACGATTGTTGTACGGACAAATTGCAGGTATGAATTTAATCCCTTTGACCAAAATGCTATGGCTTCTCTCTCTCTCTCTCTCTCTCTCTCTCTCTATATATATATATATATATATATATACACACACACACACACGCACATGTGTGTGTGCACGCTCGCTTCCTTTTGGTTGAATACTAGATGTAGATGCTTATTACTATAGTTTGATTCATCAAAATAGTTTCTTTCACTGTGCTTTGTGATCATTAGGTTCTGCCCCATTTGTGTAGATATTTTACAGTAATTTTCTTTCACATGCTTTAATTTTTTGAAAATTAATTTATAGTGTTGACATCCTTTGAATAGGAGCAACGTCGCGATGACTCAATTAAAAAAAATTTAGCTAAAAAAATTGAAACGGGTAAAAGGGGTTAAAAAGGGTAAAATGAGTTTAAAGGGATTAAAAGGGAGTCGCCAACTAATTTTTTTTGGAAAACTAGAAAACCGGATTAATTAATTAACTTATAAGAAATGTCTATGAAACCAATTTGATTCTAGATAAGGGGTTCAAGTTATTCCGAAGAAAAGGGAGTCAAGCACCCTTCGAAATTCAGAACTGTAGTTCCCGACTGAGTTCATTTTTTTTCAAATTGAGGACGAGAATAGAATAATTTACAAATAAAGCATGCAATATACACGATAAAATAAAATAATAACATCGACCTAAAGTTTGTCGAACATCGATATATACACAAACTAATGAATTGTAAAATATAATTCGAACTCCTTTCAAATAGCTTCAAAGAAGCAAGTCTTGGTTACATGTAAACACACTTAGTAGAAGTGTGAGTTACAAATAAATAAATATGAATTAATCAAATAATAACTTAATTATAAAAATCCATCTTATGAACATGAAAAGCTTTAGAAATCGACGGTTATTTCTTCATCGGTCAATTTTGTTAGGACCGTAAATAAGCAGGTGTAAATGCGGAAGCTAACAAAGCAAACCTCGAAAGACCACAAGTAAGAAGACAACGAAAAAATATACCAAAAGACACAAATTTAACGTGATTCGATCAATCGACCTACGTCCACAAAGGAGATGAGCAATCCACTATAAACATGAGAGTACGAAATACAGAGAGAAACAATATCATCCAATTCACTCGGAATACATGGGAGGTTCACACAAGTGATAACTTATCAAGCTTGTGACTCATAAATTCTGTCCCTAACCAAAACTATTAAAACATTTAAGACTACATTGTGAATACTGATTAAGCTAGAAGGAACATGTCTCTATTTATAGAATTCTAAACATTTTCTTACTAGAAAAGGATAAGTCAGTCAAAAATATTTTCCTAAAAAGAAAATTTATTTATGGTAAGAAATTTAGAGCAAATAAAACCCAACAAATTTCAACATATAAAATATGTAAACTTAAACTAAAATACAGTCTTTTTAAAATGGAAAGACCTCCAAAACTGACGGAGAGATTTTCTCATTGGCCATTTTGCTTCCAACTAATATTAGCACCAGTTGCTACTGAATAATGAAAACAAAAACGAAGTCTAAGAAAAAAAAATTTGGCAACATCAGCAATTAATGCAGAATATTAAAATAAAATCGTGTGTCACACAAAATCAAGACAAAACTACCGAAGAAATAAGTATGCAATTAAAAATAATAATAAAAGAAAAATTGAAATAACAACTAAACTAAGAACTAGTTGCCAAACTAATGAACTATTGCACATAATCCGTAAATGAAATAATAATAAAACTATTAGGAGATATACGATAACGACAACACACAAATTAATAATTATCAACATAAAAGTCAATCAGGCTAATAAAATTAACAAAAAATATAATGATGATAAAAACAGTAGCAATCTAATACTTTTACCCATTATTAGAACATCAAACAAATGATGAACAATCCAAACGAAAATCACTAAACTTCATGGCACCCGTAACAAAACTAAAAAGTAGAAAAAGTAAATAAATAAATATCAAATACAAATCACTAACAAAGGTAGAGAATCAAACAAAACAATGACATATAATATCCTAAATGTATAACAAAATTGATTCAAATAAAGAAATGGGTAAAACAATTTTTTCTTTTTTAAAAAAAAGCAAATAAACCATATTCATAATACCATAGCGGTGACAATAGAAAAATAAAATAAAAATAGAAAAGTATAAAAAATAAAAACTAAATAAAACAATCACAGCTAAAGCAAAATAAGGAGTTAATTTCAACGAAAAGACAACATCACCTTGCAAAAACAACTAGAATAAATAATAATAAATATAGAAGTACTGAGAGTTATTTGAATTAAGGGATTACCTATAACGTTGATGAAAGCCAAAAGGAAAAAAAGATCGTCGGAGCTCTGATTTATGAAGCTCCAAGCTTGTTTGGTTTCGCCGGAGCTCGAGTTTGTGGTGGTGAACTGTTGTTCAGTTGATACCTTGAGTTTGCCAGCTGGACTTGAGTTTCGCAAGAGCTCGGCAATGTCAATAACCTGCAAAACAAATAGAAAATCGAAAAAGGGGAAGGGGAAGGCAAGGAATGGAGAGCAGCTGAGTGGATTCATAATGGGGTTTTCGCCCGAGATAGAGTTTGGTCGGTTGGTCTGGTGGGTGGTGTTCCGGCGATGTTTCGCCGGAAAAATGGAGGAGGCTGAGATGGGTATGCTTGGCGTGAAAAGGGTGGCTTTTTGCTGGTGAGTTTAAGTTGCTTCCTGGCAGCAACAAGAAAAGGTGAGGGATCTAGTGGTCTTGTGTTATTCCAGCAAGGGTGGAGGTCTGGTTTCTGGCTGGTTTTGAGTGGTGGAACGGGGGCGATGTCTGGTGGTTTGTTGTCGGAGAATAGAAGGAGAGAATGGGGGTTGGATGCTAGAAAAATGGAGAAACAGGGAGGTAGTGAGGAGAAAATGGATGGTCTGTCAGAGAACTTCGTCACAAAAATGGGGGTTGAGTTTGTCCGTGCTTGGTCAGGTGGTGGTCATCGGAAAATAAAGAAAAGTGACACCAATAAAAATCTGAAAATTTCTAGGCCTAATTTTAAATTATCTCACCCCCAAGTTATGGACTTGAGGTTGAGACCTAAAAATTGTCAATTGGAAAAATATTTGTATATGTAAATTGTATTTAAAATTGATTGAATTATTAGACTACGTAGAATATCAAAATGAATGTTAATAATGTAACAGAAAAAATAAAAATAAAATGAATATGAAGAAATTTAATAAACGTAATCAATTATATGTAAAAAAAAAATGCAATTGAACAGAAGTAATGATTTTATAAGAAATGAATAAATATATGAATATCTGGTTGTGACAAAATAATTTAAACATAACAATCGATAAAAATCCTAATATTTTGAGAAAGGAGATGATTATCAACAAATTTTATTAAAATGATAAAAACATGTAATTTTAACTATTTAAAATAAAATACTCAAAATGTATTAATACTTAATCTATCAAACCAAAATTTGGTGTCAACATATAGAGGTATCAATTTATGAAAAAGTAAGATTTATTTTTTGATTTGTTGTCATGGTTTTTAATGTGCTTTGACATGCTTATCCTTAAGTTGATGGTCTATTGAATTTTTGTTTAGAGATATATATGACTAGTTCTCTAAAGGCAAAAAGTAAGATCTTTTATGACTTACCTTTTTTGGTTTGATCTTCTTGTAATGTAAATCTTCCCTTTTTGGATCTTCTTTAATATGGTTGTCCTTACTGAGGGTCTATTGTAAATAGCTCTCTACCTCCCAAGGTCGGGGTGATGTCTATGTACAATCAACCCTCCCCAAACCTTACTTATAAGATTACGTTGGGTATATTTTTTTGGTTATGTAAATCTTTCCATTTTCGATTTAATGATATATTCTTTCTTTAGTCGAGGGTCTATCGAAAATAGTCCCTCTACCTCTCAATGTAGGGGTGAGTCTATGTGGATTCTACCATCCCAAACCTCACTTGTGGGATTACACAAATATTCTCCTTTTTTTATATCTTTTAATAGGTTTTTCCTTGAGCTGAAGGCCTACTCAAAACAACCTCTCTACCTCCCAAGGCAGGGATAAAGTCTACGTACACCATACTATCTCCAGACCTCACTTGTCGGATTACACTGAATATATTGTTGAATCTATAAATCTTCTATTCAAATGAACATTGATTTGCAAACAATAAGAATAGATTGATTTGGATGTTGGTTTTGAGGTAGATCATAAAGAGATGCAAAGTGATTCTCATCAACTTGAATATCATGAGATTCGTCTTGCTTATATTATCTTACGAGAGAAAAATTATGTCAACACTTTCCAAGAACGCCTATTTGAAATGCTTTCCCTTGTTAAAAAAAAGTTAATGTGCAGTGAATTGTGTGTTTCGAAAAAAGAAAAAAAAGAATTTGTATGACTTTCCTTTTGATTTGTTGTCCTGGATATAATTTGTCATCGCACGTTCTCTAATTTTAAAATGGTTAGGTTGCGTGACAAGGGATCTAGGTTTTTCCTTTTCTATTTGCTATTTCGAGTTGTATAAAAGTAACAAGAAAATGTCAGCGAAACTATATTGATAATTCCATAATGATAAACTTAATTATCTCTTGGATTCTGGGATAGATTATGAAGGGATCTGAAATGACACTATTACTTCTCTCAGTATCCATAACTGTCTTGCTGTGATTGTTTTTGTTTAGTAAATGTCAGGGTTACAGAAGATCTTATTATAGATGTCTCATAATAATAATGGGGTTTTTCCCTTATATTGGCACTCATCCATTTGTTGAATCTTCTTTAAGAATTTTTAATTAAATGTCAGAGAGGCACACCTTAATTAAACTAAGGTCATATTACCACCTAAATCTTTTTTTGGTAATTTTGTGCACCTTTATCTTATGTGGCACGCTCCGTGACTTTATGTAATTGAGGCGCGTGAGATATTTTGATATCACGTAAGTAAAAAAGGTACACAAAATGGCAAAAAAAAAAGTTCAGGGGATAATAGGACCTTAGTATGGTTAAGGTGTCTCTGGAATTTCGATTATAGTGTAGGGGAATACGGATGTATTTTCCCTGTTTAAAATGTACATTTCTTTGTTAATTATAATTATATTTCTTTTTTTTTTGTTTAATTTTGTTTTGGATGATATATAATAGTGTAAAATAAGAAAATCATGTATTAGCATTGACAATGCTTAAAGTATATTAAACATGTTTTAGTCCTAAAATGTAAATATTCATTTATTTTGAAATTAAAAAAATTTTCCCCTTGTTATTACATAAATTTATTTTATATTGAAAGTATAGGAGTTTCTTTTAACTTTTATGATACAATATAACAAAATAAAGTATTTTAAACATTTTTCATTTAATAAAATACTCAAATATATTTCTTCATGTTGAATTCTTAAGTAGAGAACTACTTACTCATGAAAATATTTGTAAAATATGGATAAACTAGTATTTTACCCAATCCATTTGTTAGCTAATAAATTTTTACCCGTATCAAATATGGGCGGTTGAACTATTACCATTTTATGTTAATCCATTTTCAACCTGCCCAAATTTGACCCAACCTGCCCATTTATCACCACTAGGCCAATGCTATGGCAAGTTTTGACCCATTAAGACTTTGACTGTCCTTGTCTTATCGCGTTCACTAGTTTCTCAAAATTTTATTGGCGTGCCGCAAACGTGAATCATTTCGAGTTAATAATATACCAAAAAATTCAAAATATTGAGAGAAGCTCATGCTTAAATTTGAGACTAATTACAGGAGACTTGAGTTGGTTGGGATTCAAAAGAAAAGGTTTACAATGTACACTTTTTATATCGACAATGCATATAGATGTATATTACATAGTTATACATCATCTATACATGAATATACAATAGTTGTACAATATTGATACATTATATATACATATGACCATTCTGTTTGAAATAACTTTTATTGCCTTTAACCTTGTACATTCATCACATGAAGGAGCAAGTGACCTTCGAGATGTTGAATCCATAACGTGAGGAAGAGGAAGAACGGGAGAAGAAGAGTAAATTGAACTTTGAGTTCTGAGTTCCAGACGAGATTTATCGATCAAATTTGTAGGCTTTTACTTATTTTAATTGGATATGGATAACTGCTTCCATTAAAAGTAGACTGAATCGGATTCTTCATATACATCAAATGATCCATGAAACTGTAACCTTTCACTAGTTGGTTGCAGGTTACGCCCACCTCGAATGACAACTCAACAGTAAAGCATCCACAAGCATTGGAAACTTCTCAAGCATAATATTTCTAAATCTAAAAAGTCATGTTGGGGGATAGCAACTGTGTGTTGTAGTTGCAAACATTTCCTGTTGATGAACTTAATTACTTTGGCAAATTAGGTAGTTCTTAAATGTTCAATTCTTTTCCCTTCTATCTCTGTCTACAGTCTTTGCAGTCTACTTCTCTGGTTCTGTGAACTAAAGTGAAAGCCATAAGAGAATATTGTTCTATAGATAAGGAAGTGGCAAAAATGATGCTTTCATCTATCTCGACCAGTTTCTCGAGGCATTGGAAATCTATAAGAAACTACAGTAAGTGAAGGTCATAAGAGAAGTGGAAACTAAGGGTCTAAAAGGGTGAGGTGTGTGCTTATCCCAACTTATGTTATACCAACCAACATACGCTAGTTTAGTGTCACGGACTTTTTCAATCGGACAAGACTCCGTGCGGCACTTGACGGTTTACTCACGAATCTTTCACGTTCTTGCAAACTCAAGTAAGCCTTAAACTCGGATCGCTAAGAAAATAAGAAGAAAGACTAGAGACAACGTTGGAAGAATGGACTAGTATTATTAGTCAATTGTTGAATGCTTCACAATTACATTGACCCTACTAATTATACTACTCAAATAATTAAGAGTAAATAAATGCTATATACAAGTCCCTAAGCACATGCTTCATATCCCTAGAAGATGTCTTGAATTCTTCCAAAAGGACTCCTAGATTTCTCTAGTCTTCCCCAGGACTCTAGAAGACTTCTAGAATCCTTCCCAAGCTTCTTCAATGCCCAAGGCTGTTGTCCCTCCGTCTGCTGCACGCCCAGTCCGCACTTGCCCCTTCGTCTGCCAGGCCTTTGGGCCGCTTGTGCTGCAATCTGTCTGGCTAGGCGGGCTGCCTGCTTTGGGCCGCCTATGCTGCTGCCTATTTTCTCAGAATGCTGCAGATTTGGGCCTACCCCAATAGGCTGCCCACTAGGCTGCTGCAAATTGGGCTGAAATAGTGGTGGGACGTCACAATCTCTCCCACCCAATGATGCGACGACCGCGTCGCATTGCGATAGTATCGGCGTTGAGTTATGCCGGGCGACCATCAACTCGCGTACTCGATTAATCCCTTCGAGTAGCCTCTTCATCGGTGGCCCGACCTTTCTCAACCCGATCTTGCAAATTTCCTCCTTCAACGGAGGTAGGTGCCTCAGCGGCTTCTTCATCACGACAGAGTTCCTGTTCGGAACCCTCTTTGCTTGCGGAGGCAAGGATTTTTCAGCATCATTATCTTCTTTCGAACTTGCAATGGTTGCTGCCAATGTTAACCTTTTCCTCATGTCGACCCTTTCAATCTTCATGGCTGTCAGTCGAACCTGTCCTTCCGTGGCCTGCGCCTTTACCATGGGAACCGTAAATGTCTCTCCTTTCTCTATGATCTTCAATTGTTGGAGATAAGGATCGATCACGGCATGGTACTGCTGGAAGAACTTCTGCCCAAGAATAATATCAAAAAGATCTAAAGGTGCAACGACAAATTTGGTTTTCCCTTGCCAACCGCCTATCGTGATGTTCACCCCGTGCGCAACTCCGATTATGGGAATTGGAGGGGCATTGACAGTTCTGATTTGGGAGTTGCTTGAAGTATAACGCAACCCCAACCTCGTTGCTGCCGTTTTGGTCACAAATTGGCCTCCGCACCTGTGTCGACCAATACACGAGCACTCTGCCCATTGACCGTGATGTCAATGCATTGAGCGCATGCCATAGACTTTGCAAGCCCCTGATCTGCATGCTTCTGCTCCGTCTGCCTTGGCTTCTCTTGCCTTGGCCTTGTCGATGATTGCTCA